TTAACATCTGCATGCTTTTTCTAATTAATATTTCTTTTATTCTCATTTCTATAGTCAATTAACTCTTTTGTCATTTTCAGTTTTGACAGTTTTTTATGATTATTTAATGTGTTTTTATTCTGCACAAGCATACATAAACAGATGTACAGGCAAGGGTTTTTAAAGTACATCTGTTTATGTATGCTTTTGCAGAGTAAAAAATCAGTAAACAAAAATTTAAGGCAAATAAAAAAATATGATTTGTACATAACTGTTTCAATTTATATATAAAAGGAGAGTTTAAAAAAAAATTTTTTTTTAGTCTTTATTGTAGCTCAAGAAAATTTGATTCAACAGTGTACTGTGGTACTATGGTAGACATATCATGTAGCTTTTCAACATAATCACCCAGTCTCTATGTAATTTTTTATGAAAATTCAACTACACATTCAATTTCCATGTGAAAGAGATCAGCTCATTGACTCTCACAAAACCACTGTTTGCACCATTCACTGTTGACAACTTGTAGACTACTCAGACCATTAACCTTTTTTGTAATTTTCAGAAATTGCTATTTTGCGATTGCTGAAAATCCTTTCTTGATACTTGCCCTTGTATCATGTCTTTTGTGACCTTCCTTGGCAATTAACATCAATCAAGTTAATTACATCTTACCACCACTGTCCCCCAGGGGAAAGCGATTATAGTAGTTTGATTGATACGGAAACATTGAAGTCTTTGAGCCTGTTGACACATCTCAGAAAGAACGTCGGGTGCCGTCCAGTACTATCTGAGTCTAAACATCGTCGACGGGTGATCTATTTGCTAAAATCGCTTTCCAGTGGAATTGACCTTGCCGTGGTCTGGGGGCTCCCTCGCAAGAGGGTCCAACTAATTCCACAGCTTAGTAGTGGTGATCGGTGAGAACCCCAGGGTACCCACAGTATTAAATAAATCAGATAGCTCCCCAACCTTTGTAGGAGCCCAAGGCAATTCTTGGATTGACATCACACTTGCCAGGAACACAAATACCCTTTCTACAGGCAAATGAGAAGTAGATGAAAGAGAAACATTAAGTGACCACAAAGCGGTCAACTTTGAGATAAACCTAACAATAGAAAGACCCCCAAAGAGACTTATAATGAAAATGCTAAACACCAACTGGTTCAAATTAAGAACAATCTTTCATAGGATATTCAAAGAACATATCCCAATCTCTCAAACAGAGGACATAGATAGCAATATAAACTTAATAACGCATCAATTAAAGAAGCATATCTCAAATACCTAAAGCCCTCATTTAAAAACGCACAGGGACAAAGGTTAGCATCCCCAAGGGTATACCAAAGTAAAACGTGGTGGACACAAGACCTCACAGAACAGAAAATAGTAAGGCGGTTAAGAAAAGAATTCCAGAACTCAAGGGGGGAAGAAAGGAAACATAGAAAGAAAGACTTTACAAAGAGGCGGCACTCTACAGAAGGAAAATTTTCAAAGCAAAACTAGATTTGTGGCAAAACTTCTGGGAAAGTCTAAGATTAAGCTCCCCATTCGGAACATTTTATGACATAATCAAGGGCAAGGCATTAAAGATCTCTAGAATAAAGAAAAGTCCGGGAGTCTGGACTTCAAACATAGAAGACACCATAAGGGCGATCTTAGAATATCACTTCCCACAGGATAGAGCGGAGGAGGACAGCGAGATCCATACAATAACAATAAGAAATAAAGCAGACACTCCCCCCGTTTAGGGAGACGACCCAGATTTCACAATAGAAGAAGTGCGACAATTAATAAAGAGCACAAAAAAGGGCAAAGCCCAGGGAAAAGAAGATTTATCATTGGAAATAGTAGAAGAACAATTTCTCACAAATGAGGAGTTCTTCGTAAGAATACTAAATGAATGCCTCAAAAGAGGCTATTTTCCCCAACAATGGAAAGAAGCTAATCTAGTTCTTTCCATAAAGAGGGTAAAGACAGAGAGACACTAGGAGCATACCGGCCAATTTGCTTTCTTTCAGCCTGGGGCAAAATCCTAGACAAGCTCTTAGCAAAAAGGCTTACATTCTTCTTAATTAAGAATAAAATACTCAACACAAAGCAGTTTGGGTTCACACCAGACACAAGCACAATAAATGCGCTAAGAAGCTTGGTCATGCAAATCCATGAGAACAAAAGGAACAATCTTCATACCTGCGCGATATCCCTTGATGTGGTCTCCGCATTTAATAACTTGTGGTGGCCAGGGATACTAGCAAGACTACAAGATATAAAGTGCCCCTCAAACATATTCGGGCTAATTAAAAGCTACCTACAAGATAGAATAGTTACATATAACAGAGACGGGGTCTGCGTGACTCATAAGTATTACAAAGGAGCTCCCCAAGGTTCCAATTTAGGACCAATTCTATGGAATCTAATAGCAGACACCGCCCTAAATCTAGAATTTGAAGATCATGTAAGCATACAAGCATATGCCGACGACTTTATAATAATAATATAGCAGGAGGGAACCGGCTAGTAATAGAAAGAAAGGCGCACACAAAGCGCTCAGTCAATACAATAAAGGAATGGAGCAACACATATAAGCTTAAACTTCAGTATTGAGAAAACAAAGCTCATTCTATTTCCAAAAGGGAATAAATTACAGAGGATCCCCACCAAGAATCAAATGGGAAAACATAGCGATCCCAAGATGTGAACACCTAAAATACTTAGGGTTCACGATAGACCAAAAACTAACATGGATTCCCCATCTGACAGGAATAAAGGACAAAACACTCAAATTAATCAATAATCTGAATAGAATGGTTTCACACAGATGGAACCTCAAAGGGAACCCCCTTAAATCGCTATATATAAAAGCAATAGAAAGAATGGGTATATATAAAAGCTATATATAAAAGCAATAGAAATACGGGTGCCCAATCTGGTACACCGGCACGGAAAGGGTAAAGACCAAATTAAATCAGATACAAAGGATAGCCCTTTTGTGTATCACAAAGGCTTATACAACGTCCCCTACGGCAGGGCTTCAAATACTCGCCGGGACAATCCCCCTGGATATCAAAGCAGACATGGAGGCGCAATTTTATAGAGCGGTCCACTATAAAGAAAACATAAGTATGGGAGACACAATAATCTGGAATAATGAGATAGAGGACAGGCTCCCTACAATACAATATCATCCAGCCGAAGCGAAAAGAATTAAATGGGGAAAGGACCCACCAACGAATAAAGACATAGAGGTCTTTACAGACGGTTCCAAAATGCACAACAAAGTGGGAGCCGCATGGGTAATCTTCCAAGACAGTCAGGAAATACACAAAGAAAGGATACGCCTAAACAATGACGCAACAGTATTTCAAGCAGAAGTTCACGCCCTCAGAAGCGCGCTGCTCTGGGCTGGACAGAACGCAAGTTCACCCATCAGGGTTGCATTCTTCACGGATAGCCTGAGCACATTACATTACACAGCCTTAACAGCGGCAAAATCTCAAAGAGATGTATACAAAGTCTAAGAGAGATCGATAATTAATACGCTCATATCAACGCACAAAGTGTCCCTTAATTGGGTTAAAGCCCACCAAGGGACGCTGGGTAATGAAAGAGCGGATGAAGAGGCTAAGAAGGCGACAGACAAAGAAGTAGTAGACGTACACGTTCCTCTCTCAGAGGAAGTAGCAAAGAACAGACTACACAAAGAAGCTCTTTTACAATGGCAGGAAAGGTGGGACGAGGGACAACAGGTCGGATGACATAAAATTTTCCCTAAAGTCTCAACAAGACTAAAGAGCAACTATTACGAAAATCAAGCATTGAGTAATCACGGTAACTTCCCATCTTACATAGTAAGATTCCACAAAAAGAAAGTAAGATGTGCCTGCGGCACTAGCGGAAGCCTCGCGGACGCAGCTCATTACATAAAGACCTGCCCTTTAACAGCGCCAGACAGAAAACGTCTGTTCCCGCCCTCTCTCTCCTCCTTAGAGACGGAACACTTGGAAAAATACCCAATAGGAATTAAAGGATAAGAGAGATCATTAAGAAAGTCACGGATCAAGACACCCATCACCATTTCATAGAGTTTTTGTAGCAATCGTTCGACTCCTGTTAAGTCCAAGGTTTACTCTATGATTAATGCTACAGGACATCGAAGTCTATGTTTTTCAACTTTTCTTCGACTCATGTATATATGTAAATAATGTAAATATTGTTCTACTTTTCTTTGTATTAAGTTAATAAAGTTAATTAAAATTAAGAGGATCGTGATTGAGATCCCAAAATAAAACGATTTGTTGGCGAGATACATCTCTCCCCAGCAAAATCATCCAGTCAGATGAGATTGTAGGGTGGTTAAAGCGGATGGAAACTTAGCCTCAGGCTCTCCGCCCATACTTAACCTAGCTATTTGGCATATAACTACTTACAGCACCTAAGACCGAATTTATATCATACAAATGGTTATCATCTCCTCCCGCCTGATACGGAGGATGGATAAGTGATAGCGTCTACGTGGATACCATACCACTTACGAACACAACGACTCGGTCCTCTCACCTGCTCCTCCCACTGAGACCGGAAGTGAGTCATAGGTTTCCCACAGTTGTAATTTAATTACAGGAGTGGAGAGTAAAATTGATTGATTACCACCACTGTACTGAAAGGGTCTTCATGTGAAAATAAGAACATCAGTTCTATTCTGCACATACACCACTCTTGCTGTGCAATTATACCAAGAGCTGGCAAAAATTACAATTTACTTTCTTAATCTCTACATATTATCTATATTTGATAACATACAGCAAATATTCTTAGCAAAGCATATAAATGTGCATCTAAAGCTTATACACATATATACAGAAAACCTTGAATTAATCAAAAAAAATATTGTCTGCTTCAAAATAATATAATTATTACTTTCTGATTATGAATTTACATAAAAGTTAAAACAACAATGTTCAATACAGATTTCATAATAAATCTAAAAGTGAGAAACTTTTTTATGCATAAATACTTACTTTTGGCGTATACCAATCAGAGGGTCGTGTCTGCTCACCAAACGGTTTAATTGATCTTGAAACAGATACCCTACAGAAGGATAGAAAAATCAATGCACAAAAATAAGCTACCAAGCACAAACAGGGTTTCTGGGAAATGAAGTGGGAAAATTGATAGAATGATAGAATTGGAGAAACTGGGGGGGGGAACCAATTTATTGGTTGAAAAAATATTTTGATTTTTTTTCATTAAATTGTTAATAATTAATTCAATTTTCATTAAATTGTTAATTAAATTGTTAAAATTGTTAATTTATTAAATTGTTAATTAAATCGTTAATTGGTACTTTTCCGTTTTGCCGGCGCAAGCGATAAAGTCGCTAATAATGGTACAACCGATGCCAAACGGAATATTCTCGCTGGTAACCTTTTAAGCCTCATTTTCAAAACATGTCACAGCTTTTTCTTATCAGATCGATTGTTTCTTTCAATACTGGCATATAATTACATAGAATTTTTATCAGATAGTTCAGTTTTATGTCTGCGGCCATTTTCGGTAATTAAGTCAATTAGGATGCAATCACAGCGCTTACCCGATGCCGAAATATAGAAAAAGGTAAAGTCAAGGGTTAAATTCATCATCAATTCTAACGAGAATGCATTAGCAAAGTAAAGCACTGCAGTTTTACATAATTTCTGAGTAAGCTATTCGTACAAATTGAAATATTTCTGCATTTAAGCTTGTGTTCCAAATTAAGATTTAACCTTGAAATTAATATAGATAATTACTGAGAGCATAGATTTTTGTAGAGTATTTACGTGAGAGAGCTCATTGGGGTCACGTATAAACCGGCGACTCAGGATGTTGTTGAACCATGAAAGCATAGTTAAATTCTTAAATTAGTAATGTCTTTTTACAAATTATTGTCTTATTTATTGGCTTTATAAAATTTTAAGCGATATTAAAAGTTTACGCCTTCAAAAAAAGAATTCTTAGAACTAACATTTTTTAAATATTTTTTATGTGTATATATAGTATTAGAGGGACACTTTTAGCTTTAAGAAACTATTTATTTACATCTAGAATGTTAATCACAGAAGAAACGCAAAACAGCATAGTTCTATTTCCATATATATCTCCAAAGGTGCAATTACAGTACAAATTTAAATGTTATATTACATATTATTAATATGACATATACTGTATTTGTCGCCAATAAAGTCTGCTTCGCGAGATTTGCGCCGGCGAAACGGAAAAGTACCCGTTAATTTTTTATTAGATTGTTAATTCAATGAAATAATAATAATTTGAAACTTTAACCTAGTATTGAACTACTAGGTTAAGGTTGATTTTGAAAAATAATAATTTGAAAACTTAACCTAGTATTGCTTAAATCTAGGTATTTTCAATTTAAAAAAAAAAAAAAAAAAAAACCCAAAACAAAAAAAAAAAAAAAAAAAAAAAAAAAAAAAAAAAAAAAAAAAAAAAAAAAAAATAAAAAATAAAAAAAACAGGACTTACTAACAAACCCTAAAAAATATTCTTTTTAAAGAATTAAAATTTCTTAGTTAATAATGTCACTATGTCACTGGAAGTCATTTATATTACTTCAAACAGTATTTCTTTTTATTTCTGTTCAACTGACAAAACAAATTTTATACGCAAAACAATATACAACTTAATAGCCTTTTAAATAATTTAACAAAGTGATTCTATTAAAAAAAAAACTAAATTTTTTCCCTGCATGTATGTTTTTTATGTGAATCAGAATTTAGCATAAAATTTAGTGACTTGATAAATATTAACGGCATCTATGGAGTTGGATACTTGCTTGGAATTATTAGGTTCCACAGAGCAATGAAGAGCAGTAACAAAGATTTTTTTTTTAAATTATATTTTAAATAAAGGGTTTTTGGAACTTTTAACATAACTTATTAAACTCTGACAGTTTTTTAAAAACCTTTTGAATTTTTAACAATTGTGGAGCTTGTAACAATGATTAGATTTTCAACAAAAAAATTTAATGCATCACTGTTAGCATAATTCACCTCATAATTTTAGGTGATAAAGTGATCAGATTTCAAAATCAAAAATTTAAATGCACTGAATGTAAATTCATACTACTAGACAGATCAAAGAACTTGGGGACAAAAGTTGAGGTCATGGGACGTCTGTCAAAGAATAGAGAATAATTTTTCAGAGGAACTGCTTTTACGCAGCAGTTTTTTAATTAAATGCATCAAAAAGTAAAATATAATTAATAATATTAATATCTTCAATAATATTTTGTGTGTTTTTTAGATTATATTCTTTGTTACTGGACTACAATATTCTATCTACTGATATACTAATAATGGCAAATTTAAATCAAAATCGTCAAGGAGAAATTTAATAGCAGTCAAATATTATCTTTCGGGACTTTTCCGTTTCGCAGCGCAAATCCTGCCAAGCAGACTTTATTGGCGACAACACACAGTACACACATAAAAAATGTTGAAAATGTTAGTTTTAGGAATTTCTTATTTTGAAAATACAAACACTTTAATGTCATTTAAAATTTTCTAAAAAAGCTAATAAAAAAAGACAATAAATTTGTAAAAAGACATTAATTTAAGAATTTACTATGCTTTCATGGTACTACTCCTGATTCTGGTCACATAGTCACCCCAGCATATCATATCCCATAAACTCGCTACAAAAATCTAATTCTATAGTAATTATCTACATTAATTAACTCAAATCTTAGTATGAATACAAGTTTAAACGCAAGAATTATTTCAATTCGCACGAAAGCTTACTCAGAAATTATGTCAAACTGCAGTGCTTTACTTCGCTAGTGCATTCTCATTAGAAATGATGAATTTAACCCTTGACTATGTCTTTTCTACATTTTCGCCATCGGTTGAGCAGTGTGATTGCATACTAATTCACTTAATTACCGCCCGCGAATGGCCTTAGGGTATAAAATTCAATTATCTGGTAAAAATACTATGTAATTGTATACCCGTACTGAAAGAAGCAATCAATCTGATAAGAAATGGCTGCAAATTGTTTTGAAAATGATGAGTAAAAGGTTACCAGCGAGGATATTCAGTTTGGCATCAGTTGTACCATTACTGGCAACTTTATCGTCTGCACCGGCAAAACGGAAAAGTACCTATCTTTCTTATATACACCATTTTTATATAATTTTGTGTTGTTTTTTTTTTTCAAAATCTTTTAACGTCCTAATACAATTTATATAAAGTTGCTTTTATGATTTTTAGTCCCAAATGACCAAGAACTTAAAAAAATTGATAAACAAAATAAAATAAAAGTGGATCTTTTTCATCACAGAACAACACATACCAAACAATTCTCTCGAGAAAAATATGTGCACCAATCTGATATAGACAACAGGAAAACAGTTTTAAATAAATAAAAAGAGAGCAAAATAGAATTACTCATATTAAAATCTTTTATTGATAATAACTAAGAAAAGCCTTTTGAATTATTTCTGCAGAGTTATTACAGAGCTGTTATCTTTGCAGTTATAGAGCTGCTCTATAACTGCAAAGATAACAGTTCTATAATAAACTCTTTAAAAAAAAATACACACTTTACTTTCTTTTATTTTTTTCACCCTGCAAGTCAACACTACCTTTTTTAAACACTTCATACCCAAATATATTTTTTTAAAAAAAGCAAATGCAAATTAACATTTTAGTGGAAATGAACATTTGATTCAGTTTTGAAAGATTTCTTTAAAAAGCACTCAACTCAATGAAATTGAATTTCACAAATTATATGTCAACATTGAAATACCATTTTAATATTTATAAAAAATTTATAAACTATTAAATACTATATCTTTAAGGTAACTCTATCCCGTTCTTTTTAAAAGTATATTTTTAAATAAGTAAGCGATAGTATTTATAAATGGAATCCATTTTATCACACTCTGGACAGAGATGCTAGCAAAGCGATCTCCGGTATCCCAACGGTCAATAAATTCACTTCCTTAAAAAATCGAAATATTACAGTGCTGAAATCACACACTGATAAGATAATTAAAAAAGCATAAATACTTAATATTTCTAAAAAATATTTGTGTCCATAATTAATTCATGATCCAGAAGATGTGCATTAAATAATTTGTCTTCTTATTGAGACTTTTTTTTAAATAAAAGAGTCTACGTATAACAATAATACTAAACAGAATACAAAATATGAATGACTTGATATTCCGCAAACAAAACTTTATGACACTAAGAAAACACAATTTACAAAAATTATGAAATTGTCAAAAATGAAATAAATAAGCTTAAAAGTAAAGAATTTTACATACATAAATATCTTCTATTCTTTAAAAAAAAAAATAATCAGCAATAAAATTAACCTCCTAGATGAAGTAAAACTATTATAGAGACCAGTAGCTGATTTAAAGTGAGTATTTCTAAAATGGAGGTATAAAGAAATGAGAAGAAATTTTTTTAAGATATTTTTCTTTTAAATAAAACATTCAAGGTTTAATTTATAAAAGGACAAATGGCATACTCCTTAATAAAAAAAAGCCTTCAAATACTTCTATTGTATTCCAAAAAAGGAGAAATCTATGTGCTTTCCACCTCCCAATTTTAAGGTTTAAATATATAAAATAAAAGCAGGAACAAAATTTTTTTAACTTAGCATTTTAGTTTTTCATACATTCTTCAGAACTCAGATACAGCAGTACTATCTTGAACTTCACTGAAGAGTAATATAATTACATTACACAATAATTTTTAAAGAGATGGTGAGAAGTTTTCTCTTTCACAGTGAAAATTTGAGCATTTGGATGTGCAACATAAAACATTACAAGTGAAAGGAAAGCATGCTTTGACAACTGTTTCATTGGTTTTAGAATACTCTTTGTAACAGTGAAACAATTTACGGTACTTATGTATTATCGCAACCACCTCAGTAGAAGTCGCCAATTTTACCGAAGTCGCCAAATTCTGGCAACTATATGCATAACAATTCTTTAGGTAATCATACCCATTGTAAGTTGCAATCCTAAAATTCACGAAATCGCCTTTTCCTTCTGTAAAAAACAGCCATCTGCACCAAGG